AAGAGCAGGGGATCCTGGGAGGGAAGAGCAGGAATCTTCAGAAGGGAAAGCAAAGAAAGGTGGGAGGTAAAGCAGGGGATCCTGGGAGGGAAGAGGAGGGGATCCTGGGAGAGAAGAGCAGGAATCCTCAGAAAGGAAAGCAAAGAAAGGTGGGAGGTAAAGCAGGGGATCCTGGGAGGGAAGAGCAGGAATCCTCAGAAAGGAAAGCAAAGAAAGGTGGGAGGTAAAGCAGGGGATCCTGGGAGGGAAGAGCAGGGGATCCTGGGAGGGAAGAGCAGGGGATCCTGGGAGAGAAGAGCAGGAATCCTCAGAAAGGAAAGCAAAGAAAGGTGGGAGGTAAAGCAGGGGATCCTGGGAGGGAAGAGCAGGGGATCCTGAGAGGGAAGAGCAGGGGATCCTGGGAGTTAAGAACAAGGCATCCTGGGAGGGAAGAGCAGGGGATCCTGGGAGTTAAGAACAAGGCATCCTGGGAGGGAAGAGCAGGGGCTACTGACAGGGAAGAGCAGGAATCCTCAGAAGGGAAAGCAAAGAAAGGTGGAAGGTAAAGCAGGGGATCCTGGGAGGGAAGAGCAAGGGATCTTGAGAAGAAGAACAGAAATCCTAAGAAGGAAGAACAAAGAACACTGGGAGCTAAGAGCAGGGGCTCCTGGGAGGGAAGAGCAGAGACTTCTTAGAAGGCACAGCAGGGTATCCTAGAGGAAAGTACAGGGAATCATGGGAAGGAATCACAGGGCATCCTGCAAAGGCAGTAAGGAAGTCCTTAATTGTCCAGATTCTTTATGGAGAATGGGGAAGGTCCACTCTCCTCCAAAAATGGGAAGTGTGTTTCTACTGGCTGTAGAGTGTGATTGAATTCAGGCCAGAAAAATAAGCAGAGGAGGCTGTAACCCCATGATCTCTCACTCTTCCAGCATGGCCCCAGCTCTTGAGTATGGGCCAGGGGCCGTGCCTATTCAGTGTAGAACAGGGAGCTATTCAAAGATCTTTCTGCAGTGGTCCCAGGAAGACACAGAACTAGGTCCCTGCCCACCCAGGCTCCTAGGTACACCTAAAGCCAAGCTTCCACTAGACTGGGGAACAGAGGCCAGGGTGGCCACTGGCTCACCAGTTCCCCTGGCCACCCTGCCCATGTTTGTCTCCTTCATGGCCCAAACCAGGAGCATATATCATGTCCAGTCTCAGTCCCCCAAGGCCTAGTCAGGCTGATCGAACACAGGAGGTCCTTTGCAGCCTTTGAATATTTTTCCACACATTCTATCCCATCCCTGGTCAAGCTTTCATCTGTTCTTCAATGCCATAAAATGAAGCAGGACTAAAAATAACTCTGTTTGTAGGTAGGAACAAAGCTTCCATCTAGGGAAGCCAAGTCAGAGCACAGTAACAGGGTCCCTCTCTGTAATTTTGTAGAGAATTGCCTGGAAAATGCCTGTTCTTCTCTTCCTCCTGCCTGTTTCCCTGGGGTCAGAAATGGCAAGCTCAGGGGCTTGGTGTTTAGCTAAGTGGCAAAGAGAGAATGTGCTTACCATGCTCAAGGCTCTGAGTTCAATCCCCATCACCAAAAGGGTCGGGGAACAGGGCAAGCTCAGAGTCACAAGGCCCTACAGCCACATTCAGGGACTTAACTGTGGCCTTGGCTGTGGTGAGGAGGAAGGGAGGAGGTTGGTGTTCCAGGTAGGCTTGGGCCTGACTGTCTTAGCTGGACTCACTTGGAATCCCTGATACCAGCTTCAGAGGCCTCAGCACGCGCACAGCCCTCAGTGTTCGCAGGTCGAAGTCAGTTCCAGCTGTGGCAAGGATCCTGGCAGGAAAAAGCAGAAGGAAAGGGAAAGGGTTTCCACATTGAGTCTGGGAGGAAACATACTCCTCCTACCACCTGTGTCCTTTCTCCCAAGGGCAGTGATAAATTCATGCCCCATATTCCCCACTATCCAACCACAGGCCAGTATGGGGCCAGGGACTCACCTGGAATCCCAAGCCATCACCAGATATGCTGGCAATGATATCCACCTGCATTACCAGCCCTCCAGTTCAGAGGCACTGTGAATGGACACTCAGCCACTGGCCTGGCAGTGAACCCGTCTTCCAACTGAGTCCAAGCCTACCCTATGCACAACCAACCCCAGCTGTACTTCAGACCATCCCATGAAAGGCAGCAGTGAGTGGAGCTGGAGTACAGTGGAGCCTGAGGGACCCTGGACCAGCACCACATACCACCCTTCTTCACCCTGTCTCGGAAGAACAGGGAAAGCGGAAGGTGGGAGTCAAGGATTCAGAAATCTCAGAAAGACCCTTGTGGAAAGAAACATATTTGTTTTAAAAATAAGTCAGTGGAAAATAAGAAAATAAAAATAAGTCGATGGCAGAGCAGCAAGGGCTATATTCAAAGTAAGAAGTGAACCACTGTTACACTCACACCCAGAGAAGACAGTATCTAACAAAGATTTCCAGGCTAAAGGGAGAGCTTTACCTCTCCCTGAAGGATGAATAAATGGGTAGCTTTACTGACAACCTGTCAGTCACACTGAAGCGAAGAGGAGGTATGCTCCTGATCTACTGTTGGACTTAGGAAATCCAGTCCTGGCAACATGGAGAAGATAATTCTGTCTGATAGTCATCTTCCTGGGGATAGGGGCCCATGAATAAAGTTCCCAAGGGCAAAATCATTGCCTCATGATTAGAATGCGTCACCTTACAGACACTGTGGACCAGTTGAAAAGTTATATGGATGATTTGGACCCTGAATTTCCACCAACTCCACAAGATGTAAAGGGGCACTGTGAGCAATCAGCTTTTTCAAGTTTTCAGAAGGACCAACTAAAGTCAGCAAATGCAGGAGACAACAGAATCAATGTATTAATCAAAAAGCTGAAGAGGAGGGGCTGGGATTGTGGCTCAACAGTAGAGCGCTCACCTAGCACATGCGAGGCGCTGGGTTTGATCCTCAGCACCACATAAAAATACATAAATAAAATAAAGGTATTGGGCCCAATTACAACTAAAAAATAAATTAAAAAACTGAAGAGGAAACTACCTTCTACAAATGTAACAAGAGAATAGGAACATCCTACAATATATACTTCTTGTGATTCTTCTGAAATCACTTCTCCAAAAGATGATTCATCAGCATCTTTCCTAGATACACAGGAGATAGATTCCTAAAGATCTGACTTGAAGATGAATGCTATGTTACATACTCTAACAATAGTCAAACTCACTTCTTGGTATTCCAAGTGCAGAAGAATAATCTATTAGTGATGGAAAAAAGACCTCAGATAAGTCTACAAAGTTCAGATTATTTCCCCAAAATCATTATGCAGTACTTCAGTTCAATCCACATGCTATTTGGTCAATTCAGAAACTTTTTACTCAACTGGAATCTGATTTCCTAGGTCATTGGTTTGTATGGCTTCTGCAATTTTTACTTTGTCTTACTGCCCAACCATGATATTCCTGGACTGATGGAGAAGGCTAAAATTTTAACCAAAAAAATCCTGTTTGAGAATTTGTTGATCTTATGTTATTGATCAATGACAATTACCACAAGAATGAGATCTATTATGATCATAACTTAGGAGGTGTATACTTTCAACCAAGCTGAAAATGGGAGAAGCACAGGATAAAAATGAAAAGTTGACATCTTTATTATTTTGAGAAAATGAAAATTGAGTATCTTTTTTAAAGAAAAATAAAAACTATTGTAGAGTAATGTCAGCAACATGGCCAGAGTTGCCTGGTACCCCACACAAAAAGAGACCACAGTATAAACAACTACCTCTGACTGGAGTGACTGAAGAAGGGTACTGGCAAACAGCAGGAAGTGGCACATTCTGTGGAGCACAAAAACCAGGTACCATCAGGAGGAGAGTGACTCAATCTCCCCACACCGTCTCCCCAAGTCAGACCTGTCTGCCACCAAGACAACTTCTCCTTACAGAGAAAAGGGAAATTAGAGGCCCTAAAGGTCCCCACTACACTACAGATTCCAAGAGTCCCCATTGCCACAGGCCCCAGAGGTAATCAGACTACTGTAGACACAAATGGTCCGTACTTCTGGAGACCCTAACAGCTCCCACACTGCTTCAGACCCCAAGAATGTCAACTACTGGAGACCGTAAAGGCTTCCATGCTGCTACAGACCCCAAAGGTCACCAGCTTCTGAAGACCCCATAGTTATCATACGGATGCAGATGACTATAAAGGAGACCCCTACGACCCTCACAGGCTTTGCAGTTTGAAGAATTTCTCCACACATGGCTGCATCGCCAGGGGAGAAGCCCACATCGTCTACCCTTCATCCCTCCCCATGATATAAGAAGTGACAGTCAACACCACCTTGAAACCAGACACACTGTTAGAAAGTCTGAGGCCTAGCTATCATGGCGTGTCTTCATTCCTGAGGTTCCACTTTTATTCCATCATGCTCACACAACCGGCTGCAGTACCTCCAAACTGCTTATGGCTTTAGCCTAGCAGAAAAGCTGAGACTTGGTTTCCAAATCCATGCAGCACCCCATCCCCCAGGGAGATTTGCACAAAAAGGATGATGCTGCACAGCCAGTGGCCCAGCACACCTACACATATCTACCTGGCCTGACAGACAAACAGTACCTTCATGCCAGAAGAGAGCCCATCACACCACCATCCAGAATACACCCAAGGCTAGCCCAATAGCCAGCCAGGCAGCAACCCTACCCGCCCATTGAGCCTGCTGCATAGCCAGTCATCCCATAACACTCATATGTGCCTGCAGCTGGACCAACAACCAAGCAGACCCCCCAATGGATCTGCTGCACAGCCAGCCAGTCTTCAGCAATCTCACATACCCAACTAGCCCAACAACAAGCCGGATGGCAGCCCTGCCTCCTGGAGAACCCATCACATAGCTGCTGACCTGCAGTACCTTCAGGTACATATGCCCAGCCCAACAACCAGCCAGGAAGCATCCTTTTCTCCAGCAAAACCTCACTAAACATTCACAGTCACAAACACCTAAGCCTAGGCTACAATACAACCACAGACATCGCTTGTCAGGATTATACCTTAAGAATTCACACACAAATCTCACTACTGTGTTTACCAGAATCAAGGCTACCACACCATATCCAGCTGACACCCTCAGCCCCACCCACAAGAAAAAGATTCTCTATACAGAGAAGAAAACTTTATAAAACCAGAAAAGACTATTTACTAACTAGACGTGCAGATGTCAACACAGGGACACAGAAACATGAAAAAGCAAGGAAATACGATGCAACTGGGGAACAAAATAATTCTCCAGCAGCAGACTCCAAAGAAAAGGAAATTTATGAAATGTCTTCAGAGGAATTCCAAATAATAATCTTCAGGAAGATTACAACATTTAATAGCATACAGCCAAACAATCCAATTAAGTCAGGAACAAAGGACAGATGCAGTGGTGTATGCCCCTAATCTCAGCAACTTGGAGGACTGAGGTAGGCAGACTGCAAGTTCAAGGCCAATCTGGACAACTTAGCAAGACTTTGTCTCAAAGTAAAAATAAAAAGGACTGGGGATATAGCTCAGTGATAGAGCATCCTGGTTTCAATCACCAGTACCACTAAATAAATAAATAAACTCAGAAAAAAATTATAATCTGAATGAGAAATTTGACAAAGAGGCATCATAAAAAAGAAGCAAATCTTACAGCTGAAGAATTCTATGAATGAAATAAAAGTACAATTGATAGATATAACAACAGACTAGATCAAGAAGAGGAGGAGTCTAGAGATATAGCTCAGTTGGTAGAGTGCTTTGCTCGAATGCATAAGGCCCTGGGTTCAATCCATAGCGAGGAGGAGGAGGAGGAGGAGGAGGAGGAGGAGGAATTTCTGAACTGGAAGATAGGTGTTGTGAAGATAGGTATTTATTTTATTCTAATCCAGTCAGAAGAAAAGAAAAAAAGAATGAAAAAGGACATCATTAAGCAAATTGATATTTGCATATGGGAGGAACATAGGGTAAAGAGATAAAGGAACAGAAAGCATATTTACCAACAACAACAAAAAAAATAGGTGAAATATTACCAAGTCTTGGGAAAGATATAGACATCAGGTCCAGGAAGCTCAAAGAATCCTAATTAAACTCAACCCAAAGAGATCCTCTGCAATTCACATTAATATTAATATTAAACTGTCAAATATCAAAGACAGAATTCTAAAAGTAATGAGAAAAAAAAGATCAAATCACATCTGATTATCTCAACAGATGCAGAAAAAGCATATGAACAAATTCAACACCTCATCCCGATTAGACTAACAGATTTCTCAGCAGAAACTCTAAAAGACTGGAGAAGATGGGATGATGGATTCAGAGTTCTGAAAGGAAAATACTTGAGCCTAGAATAGTATACCTAGCAAAGCTATTCTTCAGAAATGAAGAAGTAAAGTTTCTCAGATAAACAAAAACTGAGGGAGTCAACACCAGCAGACTAACCTGACAAAACTGTGTAAAGAAGCCTACGTTTAGAAGCAGAAGAAACATGACTACCACCATGAAAACACACAAAGTATAAAACTTACTGACAGAATTGAAACAAAAGATAAAGAGAAGATAATCAAATTTTATCACTAAGAAAATCACTAAACCACAAAGATTAATAATAAGAGGAAGAAACAAAGAATATACAAAACAATAAGAAAACAATTGACATAATAACAGGAGTTGAATGTTACCTGTTAATAATAACCACAAATTTAAAAGGATTAAATTCCCCAATTAACAGATGAATGGATTAAAAAACACCCAACTCTATGTTGCCTACAAGGAACTCACATCATC